TAACAAAGATCCGATGTTTCTAAAAAAGATTATTTTCTCTGATTATTCTCTGATTATTTTCTCTGATGTCTACTAAACGGTCATGTCAATCGTCAAACTTATCGGTACTGGGCTACGGAAAATCTACACTGGATGCAAGAGTACCGTACTCAATACCCAGAGTATCAAAGTAAGGTGTATCAAAATAGACCAAAAAATATTAATGAACTGAAAGAAAGAATACGTAATGAGGTTGTTCAAATAACTCCGGAAGTTTTAGAGAATGTTAGAAAAGAATTCGCGGCACGCCTTTCTTATTGTATTTTAGCTGAAAGTAAACAATTTGAGCACTAAATTTAGGTTTCGTTGTATTTATTGAATAATACTTAATAAATATTTATTGTAATAATAAAAATTTAATTATTTTTTTAAACCATTACAAACTTTAATTACTTAGACATATTGATATAGCTGAATAAGTATTTAAAAGACCTTTCAAATGATGTATTACAATACCCCCCTTTCTATTCAAAAATTTTACCAATGACGTCACCACGCTCACATAGATGACGTCAAAAATAAAAATGTATTCTTACAAATAGCTTATTTAAAAATAAAAATCGACAGGTTTCAGGATTTTTACTTAAAGTCTCCGGTTTACGAAATAACGAATTTATTCCTTTCATTTCCACCATACTGTTTATGGAAGGGTATATATTTCATGTTTTATTTCTCTTAATGGTTTAAATACAAGCTAGTTATTTTTCTACAACTATATACTCTATTATACAAAATTAGTTTAACAACATTCTACAACAAAATCGTTTAAATCTACACTCTGCTTTAGGCTCATTAAAAAAAAAAGGTTGACCTAAACATAGAATTAAATAGTATACAGCATCACTTTATTTTAGTGTAATATTCTAGCTAAAATGATAAACAAAAAAAAGTTAACAATGTCCATATTATTTTTATATTTCTCTTAAGCCTAACAAATGTAAGACCTTTAGAAAGGATGTGGATGGTAGAGTTTTTCTTTCTAAAGAAATTCCACAAAATTATTTCTACGTGTAAATGCACTATACGTGAAATAAAATATTAACTCTCTTTTCTATTCTTTTATTTATTTGTAGAAACACTATCATCAACATCATCAACCAGCCCTTTTCGTCCACTGCTTGACATAGGATTCCCTCATTTTTGTCCATTATGCTCTATCTTGAGCACTTTTCATCCAATTTCTTAAGATTTTCACTCTCGTCCACCTTTCATCACTGATTCAGGCGACGTGTTCGGCCAAGTTCCATTTCAGTGTGGCAATTCGGAAAATTACATCGATAACTCCTGTTCTTTGTCTCAAGTCTTCATTTCTAATAAGTCTTCGTAACTCGGTCACGAAGCGATATACTTACCGTTAACCTTTCCATTTTCCACTGAGCTATTTGCAGCGTTTTAAAAGTTGTAGCTGTCAATATCAAAGTTTCGGCACCATAGGAAATTGTTTACGTTTTAAAGAAATTGGTATATCGCTTTTAAAGATGTCTTTGAGTTTTCCATAGGCTGCCCATGCTAGGTTTATTTTTTTTCGTAATTCGCATGTTTGGTTGTCTTTTGTGATCTTCGTGTCCAAGGTATATGTATTTTTCCACCAGCTCTACTTCGTTGAATCTAATATTAATATTTCCACTAGGTACTACGTTTGTCATAAATTTTTTTAGAGATCTTTATTTTAAGACTCATACTGGCACACACAACTTTGAAAAAACAAAATACATGACCAATTTAGTTCCAAGTGATGTTATGAGGGTAGATGGGAGCGAAGTACATCAGGTCTTTAGCTATATCAATTGAGGGCATGAAATTGGAATAGGAAAAGATAATCAAACTTGTGAGATCCAGCGTCGCATAGACTTGGGATGGACAGCATTTGGCAAGAGGCGAGATATTCTAAAAGGAACGCTACCGATTTGCTTGAAGAAAAAGGTTTACAACCAATGCATACTGCCAGTAATAACATATGGTTCCGAAACAATAACTTTAACCAAACATTCTGCAAATAAATTGAGAGTAACCCAAAGAAAAATGGAAAGAGCAATGTTGGGAATAACTAGAAGAGATATGGTACCAAATAGGATAGTGAGAGAGAGAGGACTAAAGTGACAGATGTCATAGAAAACATTGCACAAGCCAAATGGAGATGGGCTGGACATATAGCACGTTTAAATGATAATAGGTGGACAAAAAGACTCATAGAATGTAGACTTAGAGAAGACAAAAGACACCGAGGCAGACCACCAAAAAGATGGATGGACGACTTGAGAAAAACAGTCGGAAATTGGATACAGAAGGCGCAAGATAGAGAACAGTGAAAGAACATGGAGGAGACCTATATCCAACAGTGGATGCAAGAGTTTGAGGAATGATGATGATGATGATGACTGGCACACACTAACTGAAGTTTATGTAGTAGTGTACATATCTCCTTAAGATTGATCGAGTACAAAACTATGTCGTCTGCGAATTTCCAACTTGTTAATATTCTACCGTCAATGTTCAGGTCTGGGAACTGGGAAGAGAAAGCTCTTCCCTTTAATGATCTGTAAGTGATCATTTGTTTCAAATCCGGTACGAAATCCCGCTTGCTCTATTAGCTGGTAGAAATCAAGTTTTTTTATCTAGACGATTCGTTACTATATGGGTATCTTGTTTTTTGTACAATATAATTGTACAAAAAGGGTGTACATATGTAGGAAATTATTAGTATAATTTTCGTGTATGTGGACTGTATTATATAGGGCTGGATTAAATAAATTATGATATGTAATAAAAGGTATACAGACGATAGCAAATTAAGTTTATATAAAGTCTTACCAATATTTCTGCTCCACACTCTCACGGTTGTTTCCGGTCTTCAGTCGTGGTTATTCTTCACCCGCGAAATCTGTCCGATGCACCGGTTTCTGAACAAGTGTTTCGCACTAATATCACGAGATAGAGCACACTTTGTCTGCACACGATTTAATACACTATTTTCGATATTTCTTGCGTAAATAAAGCGGAAAAGAGGTAATTACGATAGAAAACAGCCAAGATAGATGCTGTGTTTTTTGATAATTGAAGAGAGAGAGAGAGAGAATGACTGTCTTTAGCGGTAGTCGAGAATCCAAAAAGGCACGACTCACCTTGGCAGTAGTCAGATCAAGAGAGTGCACGTCTGGCCCTAGCGATGCCCAAACTAAGTGAGAGACGTCTTCTTTGCTATCTTGAAACTGTCTGTATTTTGTAAGGGAGGGGGGTTGAACTGGCATAGGAAGGGTTATCAAGGGTTGGAATAGGTGTTGATTGTAAAATTGTGATATAAAGATAGTTAATAATACAGCGAAAAAATAACATGATTTTTCGCATTTCAAAAATTGAACAATAATTAATATAGTATTGTGCTATTTGTCGGGTATATTACTGTCCAAAAGGCACATGTTTTTTATTTTTTTAAGTAGGCAAGCGCCTTCGATTTTGATTGCATCAGTAACTATACAATCTTCGCCTGGAGATTTGTTATTCTTAGCTTTTCTTAGGGCTACTTTAATTTGGTTGACAATGCCCTTTTTCCTTGTTAACAGTTCTGGTACTTGATCTTCTCTGCCACTTGCTTTAGGTTGGCTTATGTATAGCAATTTGTAGAGTCTTCAACTATCATTTCTCTTCTGGGTTTACTCTCTGTTGGATGTAAGATGACCATTTCTATCTTTAATCTATATTATCTGCCTTGTCCTCGTTCTTAGTCTTTTTCTCAATGCATACTTTTATATTTCTATGATTTTCAATGCTATGCTCGACTTGTTCTTAATTGTATTCTCCACTTTGGAAATCGTTTTAAAATCATGAACGATTTCCAAAGTGGAAATTAAAATGTCAATAAACTTATTTTAACCTTTAATTGTGACTTATTCCCAAGAAAATAGTATCTACTTTAAAATTCCACAAGAAAATAGCTTTAGAACAATATTTACAACCAGTTATTCCACAAACTACTTGGTTTAAGAGTTTTAAAGCTCCACGTAAATACATAACCACAAAAATTGACTAAGCTTTGGACATGCATGTTATTCAAATAATTTATTTAGAAAACATGTTAAATAAATAATTGAAGACAATAATTGCAAATATTGTGGTAAACAGGGTCATTGATCGGATGCTGAGTGTAAGGACATAAGAAGCTCCCTGATCAAACATAGGGAATCAATGCACACAGCAGATGTGGATGTAGATTAGTACAAATATAATCTCATATTTATGCTGTTATCACTGGTTAGATCGGTAACCAGTATTCTCATATAAAAACTATTAAGTAAATTTGTAATGGTAATAACGTGTCTATGTGGTGAATCCAGATAATCAATATTAAAGTCATCTGTCAAGATACTAAAAGCATTTTTTAAATTTTTTCACGTAGGGTTGTAAAGTCAGTCAGTCAAAGTGAAATGCTGCTAATTAAATCCAACCTGGTGGTTAAGTTTGGAATCATGAGAGATTTGGGTAAAATTTACCCTGTAGCAATTTTGAAAAAAATTGATATTATTGGCAGCAAACTGATAAGTCTATGAGATTTTGTGTTTACTTTTGGTTTTGGTGCATTAGAAATTCAAGAAAATTTGTGCAACTTTTAATAGTAGATAATAATTGCTAACTTTTAGAATTGTATGTGTGATAAAAAGTTGGAAATATAGCGCGTTAGGTTGTATTTAAATTGTCTTACAGTACAAATTTTTAAATGATCTTAATTTGCTGATACAAAATTATAGACATTATCTTAATATCCCACAATATTCGATACTTTTTTAATGTATGTTGTTCTACATAACAAAATGACTAATATTATGGTAGTACCAAATTTTCACTATCACACAAATATATTTTTAATATTTTTTTAATAGCTTCATTCACGCAAGTCGTTCCATTTTATAGATTAACGTGACTTCAAACTGTACTTTTGTGATATAAACGATCATAAATGTTTTTAGTTTCTGGTACCAACATGACCTTCCGTACTGAAAATGTGGCAGTTACAAGAATCGCGAAATTTTTGCCCCAAATTATTGCAGGATTTGCAGGTAAGTCAATGTTATTTTATGTGTAATAAGTTAGTGTAGCTAGTCGATTCTTTTTCACTCTCTTAATATATTGTTCTGTAATAATTCATTTTCTTTTTATTCTACTTCTTGCTTCTGCATCCTTTATTCTGCTTTCGTTTAGTACCTTATATAAAATGATTTGCTCTATATCTGTCAAAAAATCCCTGGGTTGCTGAATAAATGTCAAAAATGTTGGCAAAATATGATCTTAATGATGGACATAAATCAACAAAAACATCCGGATAATATTGTTCAAAATTTAAACCCAATGTTAACAAAGATAATAAGGCAAAACAGGGATCATAATACTAGTATATGGGAAGTGAGTCAATATTCACAATCTTAAGTAGATTTTATTTAATAAAGTTGGTGAATTCTGGGCTACCGGTTTCTAGGCTTACAATATTTGCCCCGTCATCAGGCCCAGTAGGTTATTTTTCATCATCACCATCACCATTGGTGCTACAGACCTATAAAAGAGCCTCGACCGTCCCAAGTTTATTACGCCAGTTAGTTCTATTCATTGCCAACTGTTGCTAGTTTGCTGCGCCTATTTTTCGACCATCCTCATCTACACCATCCCTCCATCTAAGTTTTGGCCTACCCTTACTTCCTACAGGTTGTGACATATGATTCTTCTAGGAGGGTATTTCTACTATGATCTTGCCAGATGTCCTGACCATCTTAGTCTTCCCATTTATATAAGAGATACTACGTCTTTACCACGAAATACTTGTTTATATCTGTAATATATCTCGTAGTTGTACCTTCTCCTCCAAACACTATTTTTACAGATGCCACCAAATATTCTTCTCAGGATCCTTCGTTGCAGGAGGTTTTTGTCTGCCTTGAAAATGGTCCATGTCTCTGATCCATATGTCAACATTGGTTGTATAAGGGTTTTGCATATGGTTATTTTTGTTTTTTGGCTTAAGTTTCTCTTTTTCATATGTCTACTTCTACTTATTCCAAAATAGAATTTGTTTGCTAGGGTATTACTCTTCTCATGATTTTTTGCGTCATGACGTTCTCCTTGGTGATTAGGGAGCCTAAGTATGTGAATTTGTCCACCACTTCAAAGGTAGAGTTATCAACCGTGTATTTGTGGCCGATGTTTCTGGCTCTATTGTTGGATGTTGAGGCCATTATCTTGATTTACTCCTAAAGACTGCTATTCAACATATATTGGACAAACACCCAAATATCTACATAGAAGGATTGTTGCACAGAAAAATAGTATACAAACCAACAAATTAAACACAACAGTTTTACACAAGTATTCTCTAGAAAATAGCCATTCTTTCAATTTTGAGAATATACAGATTAAAAAAAAACCAAACTACAATAAAAGATACATATTGAAGATGATTTACATAAAAAATATTAAAATTCTATTAATAATAAGACCAAAATCAAAGATCTTTTCAACATGTATCATATAATTAAGTATTTTCATTTATAGCAGACCGACAAACTCAGGAATTAAAAAAATTCCGTTAGATTTCGGCATCTCAATCTCTCTACTCCCCTCACTTGTGACGTGCCAGTATCTTGTCCTTTAAAAATACGAGAAACGTCAAACGACACTAAGGTCTTAATCTGCCTACTCCTCAGTATCGAGTCACTGTGGAGTAGGCTGTAGTAGAGAAGTGTTGGTGCTGGTATTTGAAGCATTTATTTATGAAGCATTAATTCAGACACATGAAAATATAATGTATTATCCCATTACAGAACAATACGACAAGACAAACTATCTTCTACTTAATGTGCCCAATCCCTAACGACATTAGCAATCATCATGGTCCATTTAACTCTATCTACAGACCAAAGGAGCTTTTTTTGCTCTATAGTCTTAAGCATTTCTTTATCTTTTTTTATTTTTCGTAGCGTTTCCGCATTTTTGGTTATATGTTGTGTCCAAGATATTTTTCACATTCTTCGATAACACCACATTTCAAAGTTAATGAGTCTTTTCTCTGTCGTCTATGTATTTGTCCAGGTCTTAACTCCATACAATAGGACAGAGAACACGAAGCATCTTAATATTCTAGTTATAATTTCGATGTTCTGTTTTCCATTGATTCCATTGAAGCACTTCTAGCTATCTCAATATGCCGTTTTATTTTCGTACTTCTATCCCATTCTTTATTTAGTTCGCAACCTAAGTACTGATATCTGTGCATCCTGCCTAAAAGTTTTCCTTTAGCATAAACACTGTCTTCCTCAATCTTGTTCTTGCGAACTACCATCATTTTTGTTTTATTTGTATTTAGTGTCATTCCATACCTTTCGCAGTATTGGATAATGCGATCAATCAAGATATGTAGTCCTTCTCTGCTATCCGCAAGGAGTATTGTGTCATCTGCGTATCTAAGATTATTCAGAAGAGCGCTGTTAATAAATATGCCTTCATTTACGTCCTCTAATGCCTTTTTAAAAAATATTCTGAATACATATTAAAAAGTAAAGGGGAATTGTCTTACTCCATGATTTATAGGTATTTCTTTTGATTTTTGTTGGTCTATTTGTATTATGGATTTCTGATATCGGTATAGATTGGCAATTATTTTCACGTCTTTGTTATCTAATTCTGTGTTCTGCAGTATTTTTTCCATTCTTAGGTGTTGTACTTTATCGAAAGCTTTTTTCGAAGTCGACTAGACATATGAATACATCGCAATTGACATCTCGACATCGTTCGATTAGTGTTTGTACAGTAAATCCTGCTTTTCTGGTGCCAAAGCTTTTTCTGAATCCCAATTGGTTTTTAGCTATTCTATCATCTACCTTTTTATATATACGTTCGTGTATCACTCGTAAGAACACTTTTAAAATATGGGTCATCAAGCTAATTGTCTTGTGCTCTTCACACTTCATTGCGTTTGGTTTTTTGGGTATTGGAATGAATATTGATATTAACCATTATTTTGGAATCTCTCCCGTATATTAAATGTCATTAGATAATTTTCTTAGTGTGCCCATATGATTTTTTGTTAATATTCTTAAGATTTCTGTAGGTATTCCATCTGATTCGACAAACTATAAAAAACCATTTATTCGTATATTTAATTGATAACTAATATTTCTACCCTAAAATTTATTAATTTTAGGAACATTACTAGCAATTTCGGATGGTATGACGTTCGCCTGGACTTCACCCATGACAATCTACCTCACCAGCAAAGAGAGTCACATAAAAACAACAAAAGAAGTAGTAGAATGGCTGGAAACGGCATTTCTGTGCGGGTGCTTTTGTGGTATTCCCATAACGCTGTATGCAGTAGACAAATTCGGAAGGAAGAAATCTTTGGTACTCGTGTCTGTGATGATGTTGGTTGGCTGGATTCTGATCGGTTTGGCCAATAAGATGATTTATATATTTGCTGCAAGGTAAATTGTTATACGTAGACATTGATACACTAGAGTAATTAACATATTTTTTTATACATTTAAGTACAACAACTTTAAAATGGACTAATACTTTTGCATTTTTGCTCTTAGACTGCTAATTTTTACAAACTTTCAACTTATTAATGGCGGCATTACACTTCGCTATGTGTTATTTGTTATGCGTCGTATTCGGCCAAATAAGACGAAGTTCGAGGGTACATTTATTAATTATTACCTTTATTCGCATGCATGAGCAAATACCCGTATAGCAAATACGCTATTATATATCTGTTCGCTGTATATATCTGTTCATTTGTCTAAGTTTTTGACACACTTCAAAGGACACGAATAAGTTGAATGCACGCTGAATGTATGTATCGACTGGCCACACTTAGCTCGCATCGCTGTTTATTTTAATTCAAATCTTTGCACAAATAGACCATCAGATAATAAGCACAATTAATGAAATTAACAAGAACAACAAGACCAGCGTTATAATGACAACAGGAGAAACATAATGCATAGAACTAAAAGGAGGAATCCGTAAGGAGACTCGCGTTACACCAACTAATATCATATAACATATTATTAATTAGAGTCCATTTACCTGCAATTTAATATATTTTCCAATTGAGCTTTATAAGTACAGCAATCACGACCTAGATTAAATTGTAATGTGAACTCATAGTTTAAAGTTTGTTAGTATGATAGAAGCATTAACCTCTGTGCTGAGGTATACATTATTTGAGAGATTATAAATTGGGGATTTGAGCTCATTTCATGGCAGTCGGTTATAGAAAGTTACCTAACCAACAACTAGAGTGTAATTATTAGCAGTTTATTCCACATCAATATTTTATTGTATTTACCATCGTCGATCGAGAAAAATCGGAAAAAGGGGTATTACAAAACGATTCGATTCTTATAACTACATTCGAATCTGTCTAAACTGTCTAATAAATAAAAAAACTCCTAATTAAGATTTTAAACGGAAACAAGTATATACAACATTAATTTACACGTACAGTATGTACATAAATCTGTCACATCTATCATCAGACTTTGCTGCCCAGCAGACAATTCTGCTATGAAGCATTCTGCTGTTCTTACCCTATACGATTTGAGTTCATAAAAAGCGGATAACAGATTTTACATATTATAATGATGTACGGGTGTTACAGAAAGCCAGATTTAAAGATATACTTTTATATTAATTTTACAAAAAACAACCATATACAATATAACTAACCTCTTTGCAGTTATGTTCTCCTGATAAAAACTATTAGTAACTTATTTCTTGGCACTTCCACCTTATTTATGCAGGATTAATATAACTGCTTTATTTTAAGATAGTATTTAATTAAAGACGGTAATGAACTTGCATTTTTGCTCTGGTATAAAATTTTAATAATTGATGTGTCTTAAAGACTACCTTCAAAAACTTTGCTAAACTAATGTCTTTTTATTTCTGCTTTTCTTACATAACATATCAATTACTTAGTAAATTTAGATGTTTTTCAATTGAAGACTTTGATAATCTAACTAATTTCTTGACATTTCTGCTCTTCTGATTATAAATTTTAACATCTGGCGTGTTTTAACATGTTTAATGATCTCTTCGCATATCTACTTTTCTGATTCTTCTTCTTATAGTGCCGTGCAGCCATAGTGCGTTGGCGAATTATCTTAAGGCCAGACGTCTGTCTTTTGCGGCATGCAAAAGATCGCCGGTGTTATTTATGCCTGTCCAGTCCTTTATGTTTCGTAGCCACGACATTTGTTTGCGACCTACTCCTCTCTTGATTTCAATCTTTGCCTGGATGATTAGTTGAGAGATCTCAACTAATCTGTATTTCCTCTTAGGAAATAAAACTCTTATATCTCTTCAGCTTTCTGAACATTCTTGTATGAAGGATGCGAAAAAACACCTTAAGCAAATGGCTCATTAAACTTATCAGTATGTGGTCTTTGCTTTTTGTATGAACATAGTTTCCTTGATCATTATTTAGGCGAGTTTTATGGTATTTCTTGTATATACTCGAAATTTCTTTGACCTTTTTATGTAATCCAAAGCTGTCTTCATTTCTTGTAGAGATTCCAATTCTTCACAACGTTGTTTCATCCAGCTTTCCCATGCGTTTTTAATGCTTGCGCTTATCGTATTATTAATTGATTTTTGGTTTAGTTTGCTTTCCTCATAAAAATTAATAATAATAGTTCAACTAAATCATAAAAGTTCAATCAAGGGATATAATATTAGAGTTGTTATGAGTTTACCTTATTAAAAAAAATGTAGCAGTAGCGATATAAAAGAATCAGTGAAAGCAGCTAGTTAAAATCTATAACCAGATTAGAGTTTCGGATATGAAGAAAAGATCTGTCTAGAATATGTTAAAGAAAGAAATGAGATAAACCTATGTTAAAATGTGGTACCGAAGATTAGAAATGAAGAAAACAGCGATAAACGGGAACGATCGAATGGGCGGCAATGATAACTGTAATAGCTACATATTCAATATTTATAGTTCTTTTAAGTTTAGTATGGCTGATCCAATAGTTTTCCAAATATATATATTTTTATTTTTTTTATTTAAATAAAACTAATTTAAAAATATATTTTTTCTTTTAGGGTTTTGGCAGGTATAGCTAGCAACATGGTATACGTAGCATGCCCAATGTACAACGCCGAAATAGCAGACGAAAAAATTCGAGGATTTCTCTCAGCAATCATGATGGTAATGGACCACACAGGCTCCCTTATAATCTACGCAATAGGACCCTACACGCCGTTCTATACTGCTCCTCTATTAGGATCCGTTATAGTAATTTTCCAAATAATTGTCTTCTCATTTATGCCCGATTCGCCATTTTATTTAATATCTTCCGGTAAAATTGCAGATGCTCACAAGGCGTTGACGTTCTTTAAGCCTTATAAAGACGCTGATGATGAAATTAATGTGATTTCGTCTTCCATTGAGAGCGAAAAAAGCGAAAAGGGACAAAAGCTTAGTATATTTGACACGAAAGTCAATAGAAAAGTGCTAACAATTATCACGGTGTTAAATCTAACACCACAAATGTTGGGTTATCCAGTCATCATTATGAACCTGCACGTTATTTTGAAAGCAGCAGGATCCATCTACATGGACTTCTCACTTGCTGCTATCACAGCTGGTAGTATAATGCTGGCAGCGACGATCTTCTGCTCCATATCTGTAGACAGATTTGGCAGAAGGATTTTACTTCTAGTATCATCGACTGTATCAGGTTGCTGTGTACTAGCACTAGCTGTTTATTTCCACTTACAAGCCTTATCCTACAACACCATTCCAGTGAGTTGGATACCGATAGTATCGGTATTTATATTTTGTCTTTTTTTCAAGATCGGCATCGGTATAGTACCCTTAATAGTAAATGCAGAAATAGCTCCTGGTAACATCAAAGCTCTAGCCGTTACGTACGGGGATGGACTTAAAATAGTTGGTAGTATTATATCGGTACAGATTTACCAATTTGTTACGAAGGCTACAGGTCTCTACTTGCCTTTCTACATTTATTCCTGCTCAGCTGTTGTGTTAGGGATATTTACGTTTTTCTGGATTCCAGAGACCAAAGGACACTCACTAGAAGAAATTCAGAGGATTCTAAAATCTGATTCGATCGGAAAAAGATATTAGTTGTCTGTATTGTTGATATTTATTTTTTTTTACGAATAAAGCATTTGTATAAAACTATTATTCTTAATTTTAACTAGAAATATAAATTGGAATCTTAAAACTCATTTACAAGAAATATTAAAACTAACTAGATATTCAAACTTTAAAGTTAGCAGACACAGGGAGTGAACACAAACTAGTATTAGCAAAGATAAGAATGAAAGTAACACCAAAACAATATTTTTTACAAGAAATTACCGAAAAAAAATTCAATGTAAAATCACTGTTGAACGACTTTATAAGAGAAATGTACCAAAGGAAGCTAGTACAGAAGATACAGCTGGAAGAAATAGACGACATCGAAAATATGAACGCAAGCTGGGAGAAAACGCTGGGGAAACGCACTGCAAGATACCAGATGCATGGAGAAACAGCATAATGATATCAATGTTCAAGAAAGGAGGTAAAGAAGATCCCAACAATTATAGTTGTATAAATCTACTGAACACCTTGCTTAAGCTTACCACAAAAGTCCTAACCAATACAATCAATAAACTATCAACTTTATCAGATAAACAATAAGGATTCAGATCCGTAAGATCCTGCGTAGACGCTGTATTTGTACTAAGACAAATCACAGAAAAGGCCATCAAGTACTGTAAACCAGCATATATATGTTTTATAGACCTGACAAAGGCTTTCGATCGCATCCAGGTCGAAGACGTTTTACAAGTCCATAGTCGAATACAGGCAAAGATAAATAGAAAACTAATACAGTGTATACCAGTACAAAGCGGAGTTAGACAGGGTGACCCGTTAAGCCCACTTCTCTTTTATATAATAATGGACGAAATAATACAAGCACGTACGGTCATGACTACAGAATGGGGAACAAAGAAATCCAAATATTATGTTATGCAGATGACGCTGCTTTAATCGATGAGACAGAAGACGCGCTCCAAAGATCTTCTTTTACACATATCGCAATATAACAGCTAAGTGATACAATATCATAATATCAGCAAAATAAACCAAATGTATGACAACATCTAAATACCCACTACGGTGTGAAATCAAAATTGATGGGAAAATAATAAAGCAGGAAGCAAGCTTTAGATATCTGGGAATAGATATAACTAGTTACGGTAATGTTGAAGAATCAGTACGACAACAAAGCTTAACAGCAAGTAAAGCGGCGGGTTTTCTTAATGGCACAATCTAGAAGAACAAACACCCTAAGACAAGACACAAAAACAAGAATCTATAAAGCAGCAAGCAATTAGACCTATATTAACATACACAGTGAAGACAAGACCTGCACATCTAAAACGAGACGACTGCTAGAAACAACAGAAATGCAAATACTCCGACGAATATCAGGGAGAAGTCTGTTGGATAGGTAGAGAAGCGCAAACATAAGAAGAGCATGTACTATAGAAGGCATAAATGGATGGGTGACAAAACGAAAACACATTCATTTTCTGCTATTTCTTTCACCTTTTGATGAACATTGAAGTAATTATATCGACTCTGGTACTTCTCTATTTCTTGATATTTCTCTGTTTGTTGTTGCTCTTTGGCTTCTTTTATCTTTTTGCTGCCGATGATATCTTTTTTCTTATATTCTTGGAGATTTTCTTCTGATCTATTTTTTTATCCATAAGTTCAAGTATTTCATCAGTCATCTATGATTTCAGTTTCTCTGTATCTTTTTTAAGGTGTTTATTTCTTTCACTGTTTCTAGTATGATGGTCAGAGTTTCCCGTATAGTTCCTGCATGCATTTCTGCAGTTTAGCACTTTTTTATTGAGGTTTTTACTCACATTCAGTCGAACATTTTGTTCTTTTAGATTTCTAACATCATACTTGGTGTAAAGACATAATACCTCGCATAAAAATGGAGAAACTAATATATACAAAACATCTAGCAAGATCACAGCAGAACAATCTTCCTAGACGAAACTTTATGTCACAGATAGTGGAAAGTAAACAAAGAGGTAGACCAAAATTTAGACGGAAGGTTGCTGTAGATGACGATGCTAATAAAATGGGTGCAAGACACTAGCAACGGTTGTTAATAGATAGGGATGATTGGCGAAATATATTTGTAAAGGCCTCAGCTCCACTATAGAGCTGCAGCACCAATTATGATGATTCTTATATAAGACAGTATATATGATCACATTGCTGTTTATATTTGTGATATTTTTGTATATATTGGAAGTATTATTATTTATGATTTACCTTTGATAAAATGAGAGGCAGATATCGAGCTCAGTTTAATTAATTAAATCTTTCAGCATCATCAGTGCCATTACAGCTTGTCATGAGCCAAAGCCTTCTTCAGAACAATCTTCCATTTGTCCCTGTCTCTCGCAACTCTTTTCCAATTTAACTCCGATGGATTTTAGGTAAACAGTAAACGAAAAAATCTTAAACAAAATAAGATTTGCAGACGACACCGCTGTTTTTGCAGACAGTCTAGAAGCATTGCAACGCTTAGTAAATAGATTATATCAACTCAGTATTAAATATGGACTACAAATCAACGTTAAGAAAATCAATTTTATGATTATTTCTAAGCAACATACAGTAGGAAGGCTAGATATCGAGGAAAAACAAGTAGAAAGAGTGAATAACTACAATTATCTGAGAACCTGGGTAAATAAAAACAGTGACCAAGGTAGAGAAATAAGGACATGCATTGAATTAATTACTATTTAACTGGGAATAAGCCACAATTAAAAATAAAAATACGTTTATTGACGTATTGTTCTCAAAATACAAACAGTAAATTAAACAAATTTTGTTTTTTGTTACATAGTGAAAAATTCTTCTAATAATTTAATTTTATCTGACTCATTTATATTGACAATTCAGACATACATTATGAATTTTAAAGTAGACGACTTTAAAATGATATTGCCAATATTGTTGAGTTGCGCTCCTGGGACGACTTTACTTATAAGATAGTTCATTCGATTACATGAAATCAACTTTAACTTGAGAATATCCGTCAGAAAAAAATCATAGCATGTAATTCGTCTTTAAAAAAAAACACATGACATGATGACAGTAAAATTCTGGTAAGTAACATGGTAAGTATTTGTTCGTAAATTTAGTTTACCTTCAACAAACACCAAAATTCTGATTTTATATGTTTCGTTATTTAAAAAACATAATTCATGTATCCTCTATATGGTACTGACTTACTAATACTGGTATTTTCTTATTAATAACTTCCTCTTTCAATATTGGTAACCAGATCCTACTACATTCTGCCGAGGAATTTGCGACACAATTAGCCTCATTTGGCATAATTAGAGCCGCTTCTTTGATTTTTCTTTTTTTACCATCCGTTTCTTTTAGGACTACATTTGAATTATTCCATTGAACCCTATGTTCATTACCCCATGCGTGTTTACATATTTGAGATCTATCAAACTCTCTATTTTTAATATAAGATTGATGTTCACTTATTCTAACATTTAATGGCCTTGATGTTTCACCTAAATAAAACTGATCGCATTCACAAGATATTTTATAAATGCAATTCTTTGTCCTTTCTTGTTCATTGTTAGGTTTGGATTTGGACAAAATAGATCTCAACGTGTTTGGTGTTTTGAATGTTGTTGAAATGTTGAATTTATTTCCTATCCTTTTAAGTTTTTCTGATAGTCCTTTTATGTACGGTATTGTTATTTTCCTCATATTATTCCTTGTGTATGCTGTAGGATCTCGTTTTAAGTTGTTCTGTTCTATTCGATCGATTATTGAAAATTCCTTATTTATAAACTATAAAGGATAATCATTTTTTAATAAAACAAATGTTAACAAATGTTTCTCCCCCAAGAACGAATTTTCGTTAGAACAAGTAATTTTGGCTCTATCGTATAAGGATTTAATTATGCCTTTTTATACATTAATATTGTGATTTGATTTGAAATTTAGATATCTATGGGTGTGTGTCGGTTTTCTATACACCTGAGTCTTATATCCAGTATCGTTCTTAGAGATTAAAACATCCAGGAAAGGTAGCGTGTTATTATGTTTCTTTTCCATGGTAAATGTTTTGTCTTTTCTTTATCGTTTATATCATTTAGGAATGTGTCCAACAACTCTGATCCATGAAGCCATATTGAGAATACATCATCTACATACCTCCACCATACTGTAAGTTTGAAATTTTGTTTAGAAATGATATTTGTTTCAAAATCTTCCATAAATATATCGGCTAAGAATGGAGATAAACTAGAGCCCATTGCTAGACCAAAATTTTGTTTATAGAATTTATTATTTAGTTGAAAATATGTATTATAAATGCATAATGTTAATAACTCCATTATAGCCGATATGTTTAGTCTGGTTCTAGTTGCCAATGAATCATCACTCTCTAATTTTGTCTTGAGTATAATTAAAGTCTTATTTAATGGCACATTCGTAAATAAACTATTTATGTCAAAACTTACCAAAGTATTATTTGAATTAAATTCAATATTTGATAATTTATTTAAAAAATGTTGTGTATTTTTTATGAATGTGTCTTTTTTATTAGTGTCATTTATTAAAAAAACCATAGGAAGATGAAGAATTTCCTGGCTTAGAAACCTAAGAGTGTGGTTCAATCATCATCATCATCATCAATGACACTACAACTCTTCGTGAGTCTTTGCCGTGTTTACTATTACCTTCCATGTTTGTCTGTCCTGTGCCAGTAATTCCCATTGTCGCTTTCCCATCTTCTCTAAATCTTCTCTGACTGCATCTTTCCACCTTTTTCTAGGCCGCCCTACAGACCTTCTTCCATCTAACCTTTCCCAGAACACATTATTTATAAGGCGATTGTCGTTACTACGTATCACATGTCCTGCCCATCTGAGTCTATTGGCCTCTTCCGGCCTTTTCCGAATAGAGACTATAGCTCGTTATTGTATCTGCCTCTCCATTCGTTTGTCACGCTGTCTCTGCAAGGGCCATATATCATTCGAAAAATTTTACGTTCCCATACCAGCAATTTATTTACTTCTCTTTTTGTTATCGTCCACGTTTCGCTTACAAACGCGACTGTTGGTCGTATTATGGTCTTATATATCCGGATCTTTGCACCTCGTGAAAGAAGTTTCGACTTCATCAGATGTTGCATTGCAAAGAAAGATCTATTTCCTGCCATTATTCTCGTTTCAACTTCTCGCTCTAATTTGTTGTCATTTGTGATTGTTGTTCCTAGATATTTAAATTCTTTACTTCGAAGTTGTGATCATTTATAGTAAGCTTTTGCCTTATCCGCCGTCGTTCTTGTTTTAAGACGACCATGTATTTTGTTTTGTCTTCATTTATTTTTAGACCGATGTTTAATGCAGCTTCTTCAAAGCTCGAGAAGATATCCCTAAATTTCTAATTGTGATTGTGCTACTGCGTCTACGTCATCGGCAAAGGCGAGTATGATTTTTGTTCCCCGAGCAGTTATGTCTGGTTTGTTTTGTGGATATATTTTTCGCATGACATATTCTAAGGCCAGTGTTTTATATATGGTAATTTTAATTTTTCTACGTTGTTTTGGGGTAATCTCAAACCACAAGCCATTTGAGGTAACACCAAGCCATAATAGCACTTATTGGCAAGCACTTATCTTGTTTTAATTTGTTCGCTGACATTGTTGTTTTTGGTCAGCAGCGAGCTTAGGTAGACGAAGATGTAAACACCTTCCAGTTCCAGATCATCAATTAATAGTCATTATTAAATCTTCTACCGAGAGGGTATATCTATCAATGGAGAAGTTTTGAATAACTTACGTTTTGCAGACGATACAGTAATAATTACGGATAACAACAATGATTTACAGAACCTAATGCAACGCCTTAATGAACGCTGTCATGAGTACGGACTGAAGATAAATTTAAAGAAAAGTAAATGCATGATCATGACTAAATCTGCACATGCAAATATCCAATTGACTATTGAAGATACTGCAATTGAGAATGTTAATAACTATAAATATTTAGGAACGTGGATAACATCAGATGTAGACCAAACCAAAGACATTAAAACACGTATTGAAATAGCACGTACATCATTTATTAAATTTAAAAAGTTTCTTTGTTGTCGGGATATAAGGTTAGAACTACGCCTGAGAATGCTTCGATGTTACGTGTTCTCTACTCTTCTTTATGGTCTGGAAGCTTGGACACTCAAACAAGTTCATCTGAATTAGCTGGCCGCCTTTGAATTTTGTTGTTACAGAAGAATCCTACGAATATCATGGATTCAAAGAATGTCAAACATGGAAGTAACTAGAAGGATAGGAAATGAGGCGGAAATAATATTAACTATTAAAAGACGAAAACTTGAGTACTTGGGACATGTGATGAGAGGGCAAAAATACGCATTATTTAAACTTATTATGCAGGGCAAAATCCGAGGAAAGCGAAATGTGGGAAGACGAAGAATATCCTGGCTTAAGAACTTAAGGGAATGGTTTGAATGCAGTAGTGCAGAACTTTTTAGAGCGGCAGTCAACAGAGTCCGCATAGCCATGATGATCTCCAACCTTCGATAGAAGATGGAACTTAAAGAAGAAGATTCAATCTTTAGATTTAATTAATAAAACAGTGCTCGATATCTGCCTTTCATTGTATCAAAGTTCATTTATTCGAGCATTTAACCATATATCAATTTATAATTTAGACTATTAATACAATTTATAATTGTAATTTGTTAATAATGATCTGCCTAATTTTAGTTTTATGAAGATAGCCTAATTCATATGTTTATAATTACATGTAATCTAATAGTCATGTAATTAGAAATACCTGGTAATGAAATATTAAATGGTGTCAAAATTGTAAACGATGGATGTATTCATTAAATATTTTTATGGGAAATAAACTTTCTCTTGAAGTGAGTGGTGAAGTTGACGATCTTTTCTACAAATAATCAAACAATGTTTTGTTTTTATGTTTATTATTGTTCAACAAGAATTTTCATCCATTAACAGCCATTGTTGTTTTTGTTTGAAAAAAAAAAGAAAATCGTACTGTTATAAGGTAATAAAAACATATAAATTATATCACTTTTTCAAGACCCCACAATTAAACAATTTTGTATTTATTATGTCGAAAATATCTCATATATAAACAGTTTATCATTTAACATATTTACACAAAAGCTTCTACCACAATTGCTTTTACTTCATAGTGTGTAGATACTCTTTTTTATTTTAACAAAGGTCACGAACTGTGTTCAAATTATAGTTATCTTTTTATGTGGTAATTTATTAAACATTTATCAACCTCTTACACAATTTAGGGTATACGTATAAATAAAACTAAATAAAACATATATGATACTGTATTCTGTTAAGATTTTAAACATTTGCCAGAAAATTAACATTTGCAAAAACATTTTCTAGACAGCAGAATTAATTGAACATATTAAGTGATAAATATGGCTATGGTATTACCTGAATTGTACAACCAATGCAACGACTTAACAGTATCCACCACCAAGGATCACCTTTCCAAGTACAAACACCTAATTAAATGGAAAAACGAGGAATCGATCATGGAACTCGGTTGGTGATGGAAACTGTTCGATGTACTGTCTACAACCCTTTTTGCCGAATCATTACAAGGAATTCGTCGCTATGGATATCTCAGAAGCTATGTTGGAGTACGCGAAAAATAATATCAACCTGCCAAATACTAGGTTTGTTGAATGTGATGTTGGAAGTAAAGATATCGACGATGAGTTTATTGAAAAGTTCGACCATATATTTAGCTTTTATTGTATACATATGATAGAAAATATAAGGTAAGTTAAAATATTTGTTTTGAATATAACTTCTGCTTTTCGTGTAGATATAACTTTGTCGATTTTTTAACGTGCTTCTTGTAAGTTGTCATTCCGTTTTCATGATACTCCTACTGATCTTCATTTTCCGCCATCTTTTCTCTTCTATTTGTTGTCATTTAGCTTATATGATCGTTTCATTCTACTCTTATATTTCTCACCTAGTCTTTGATGTTCTGTATTTATCTCGAAAGTGTTTTATCTCGTGTAATACATTTTCATGTTATTTTCCGTCATCTTTATTTTTATATTTGTTTTTTGTATTTATTTACGCTGTAACCACAAGGGTTATTAGCGACCTAAAAAATATAATAAAGGTAAAGTTAAACAAAATTACAATAGTTGATACAGTCCTGAGTCTTTAAGATAACTTATTGTGTATTCAACATTCATGTTTTTTCCTAAGGTTTCCTTTATATTATTTGGGATAGTGTGCTTCTTTCTTGCTGCTTCATATGTCTTGCACTAAGTTAGTATATGCTCCACGGAGAGTGTTACTTGACAATTTTCACACATTGGCGGCACAGTTCGGGTAAAGAGATGTTTATGTGTTAAATTACTGTGTCTTAGTCGCAAACGTGTTATTCTCACTTAGTCCTGTCTATTTACTGTGAGTTGAAGCCACGGTTTCACTAATTGTTTGATTTCCTTAAGTTTATTTTGTGATGCACTCCCCTTATTTTGCCACGCATTTAAGACTTTATATTTTATTTCTGATTTGAAGTGATCAGATAAAACCTCATTTATAACAATGGAGTGCTGCCTGAAGGATGCTAAGCGAGCTAGAGCATTTATAAGAATGGAGTGCTGGCTGAAGGATGCTAAGCGAGCTAGTTCATCAGCTTAATATGATGGAACAAACGTGAAGTCAACAGTGATCTTATTATTCTTTAGAGGAATTATTTACCGATGAGTCGGAATGAAGTTTTCACTGCAAAGAGTAAACATATGTATGATAAGTTTTCATATTAATTTCATATGGTGCTTTTGGTTTTCATTCTTTTGTCGATGTTATACGGATGTAATTCCGTTAGAAACTTTATAAGTGCATGAGAGCCTTTTGAGTACAATTTTGTTACGCTGATTATCTCATTTGATCCTTGTATATTTTCGAATAGATCCACTACTTGATCGAAGCTTAACAATTGCTTTTCCCTTTATACATATTCTCTAATTGGTTCTAGTAATGTTTGGAGATTTGGTATTTAATCTCTTAAGTTTTTTTCTTCTTCTTTGGTTTTTTTCTTTAATTGAAGCTTAGGTTTTTCAACGCTTTCTTTGGCAGTTGGCGCGATTGTATCTTCTAGGGTTCTTTTTCCGGTGGCTTTGTTCGAAGTTATCTGGGATTTCGTGAGAATTCATATGTGAATTTTTAATTGGAGGTAAGTGTTGACTTGTTTTGGGTAAGGTTAATTTATGTTTTTGGGTATTAGAGGATGACTCAGACGATGTAAGTGTTGTGATTGTCGTGTTAACTGAAGAAGTGGTGAAATGTATAGATGTACTATGTAGTGAGCGTTGTTGGGCTTGGTTTATTGATAAATTTGGGATTGCTACTGTTTGTAACGTGGTTTGAGAAAATGTAGTAAGCGTAAAGGGAGTGGTATTTTAGATTTTAAGAGTATTTTGTAGATTATCTTGTTGAGAATGATTTATTGATGAGTTTTGTCTCATTTCTATTTGCATTGCAATCAGCAATCAGCCGAAGCAAAGTTTTTAGTGTTCTATTGTTACAAACAAAACTTATTTTAGCTCTTATACCTAATTCGTGCTCCGGTATTGATTATCTCTTAAAAATACCTTGATTAGCCGTAGACGAAAAGCAAGTGTTTATATTTTAAGTGTTTTTATTTATTAATTATCCGTTTATATCCTGTTGCGACTAACATTGTGTATTTGTCTGATTGAAGGTGATGAAGGAAATCTATTTGTTTACCTATACATCCTGAACATTCGTATTATTTTAGTGGTTTTTTATATAGCATCATCATCATCATCCAACCCGTTGCGTTTACTGCTGGACATAGGCCTCCCTTATTTTAGTCCATTGTGATTTATCTTAAGAACTTTTTATCCAATTTCCTGACATTTTCTTAAGATCGGTAGTCCAATGGGACTACCGTGTTCGTACCGTGGAACTATTCCACGTTGTTCTCCGAGTGCAGAGGTTCCCTCTCACCGGCTCTGGAACCCAATTGAGCCATGTGTTACCTTTAGTCAAATTTAATTTAATACTGAACATCACAGTTATTTTATAACACAATGTACAATATTTCATAACTAAATGTAATTTAAAGGGTTTTTACCCTAATATTTTGGTGACTCAGGCATTGTGACCTAGCATTTTTCGATTTTAATAACCTGATGATGGACTGTGTGGTCCGAAAACGTTTGTTTTATTGATGTGGCCCTTTTAAGGGTTTTTTAAATAAATATACCCATTTACAAAGATTAACCTCTTTTTTTTATTTTAAGGACTTCCTCTCTGTTGGTTGTACGATGACCATTTCTATCTTTAATCTTTATTTTCTGCTTTGTCTTCGTTCTTAGGCTTTTTCTCTATACTTTTATACTTCTATTGTTTTCAATGGTATCTTCGATTTGTTCTTGCTTGTATTATCACCAGTATGGTCTATCACCGTAAACAGTAAAGTAGATTAATATTATCTTATGTATTAAAATGTTTTAGTCAAGCCTTTAAAAACCTCTACAATATGTTAAAACCCGGCGGACAAATGTTTCTCACAGTTATGGAATACAGTTTGGCAGATGTGGCGTTCCACAAACTGAGCAAGATACCACGATGGGAGAAATACGGAAAGCAGACCACTGTCTCGCCATTTTACTATAGTGAGAGCCCCAAAGAAGAATATATAAAGCTGTTACAAGATGCAGGTTTTAAACATTATGTACTTGAGACTGAGAGTATCGATTTTGAACTTGGAGGAGAAGATGTGTGGCAAAGTAAGTAAGAAAATAAGGTTGATGACACTTTTTCATCATTTTATAATTTTCTGAGTGTTATTTTTTTAGGAATATTCACCATCCTTCCTTTTTAATAACATCCTAGTCATATTTATGTTTTTTTTTATTTGTTTTAGAACTATGTATCGCCATTAATCCACTATTACCAAAAATATCAGCTGAAGAATTGGAAGATTACAAATTAGATTATCTAAACCAATTACGAAAAAGTAGATCCTTTTCATTTAACAATAACAATTCTCGCATAACTACCCATTTTAAAATGTTTATTATTGTAGCAAATAAAATTTAAAAAACCTGAATCTATTTATTGTTTAAGTTTTTGTTTTGAATCTTCTTCTTCTTGTGCGTGTTCGATTATCGAGCGTTGGTTATCAAATTGGCTATAGAAATTTTGTTGACGGCAGCTTGGAAAAGAGATGGAGAGGATCTGTTAAACCAATCTCTCAGGTTTCTAAGCCATGACGTTCTTCTTCGACCTGGCCCTCTTCTTTCCTCTACCTTGCCTTGTATTATTAAGTGGAGTATATTATATCTCTCTGGGTGGCGTATAACATGGCCAAAATATTCCAGTTTGCGATTTTTAATTGTTTTGACGACTTCCGTAACTTTTCCCATCCGATGCAAAACAACTTCGTTACGAACTCTGTCCACAGTTTCCGGTTTTTTTTTGAAGGTCAGTCTGAAGTTGTATCTAGTACCGCCCATTTCAGTCCTCAGTATCCTAAGCAGCCGTTTCGAGATATTTTTTCCAAAATTTTGAGATGCAGTTATTGTGTGGCAGAGAAAGTAACCCCAGAAATTTTAGTGTAATTTTTTGTGAAATCCAGGTAACTTTTTGTGTTTAATTTCAAAGTAAAGTAGACAATTTTTTATAATAATAATGTGCCTTCATTAAAATTTAAGAATCTGTAATAATTAAAATTATATGTCTTAGAGTGTAGTTAGCTGTCATTTTAATTGTTCTGTTCTAAATATAAGAGCTAATAACTAAAATGAAGGCTAATAAGCAAACGTCTAGATGACCAAAATTTATTTCAAATTTATTGTAAGATGCTATCAGCCTCTTGTTACTGCGAAATGGCGTTGGATTTGAAAGAACAGAAGAACGAGTCTTAGGAAAGAAACTGCCAACGAATAAATACTTATCTAAGAGGAACCAGAAGCACAGAAAGCTGGAAAAGAAAAATTGAGAAAAGAAAAGAAAAAAGAAGTAATACGGACCATAATACCTAAAGACTGAGAAGACTGAGTATTTCAAAGAACTTTTGGTAGAGAATGGAGTCGAATTGCAAAAGCATAAAAATCAAAACCAAGATAGAATTTCAATAGGTAACAATAGGTAATACTATTTCACAGGATAAAACATTAGCCAAAGCCATAAGAGAGAGAAATTCATCGGAGAGAAAAGCCATTACAATGTTAAACAGCATTTCATGGGACCAATCCATCAGTAAAGAAAATAAAAAGAGGATATATGATACTATAGTAAAAATATTCAATTTTATAATTCAGTGAGGTATGGCCACTGAAAGAAAGACCACTGGCAACGCCGATAGAGACGGAAATGGATTTTTGGAAAAGAACTGCAGGAAGATCTAGATGAGAAAAGATTACCAATGAACGCACTAAAGAAATAATGGAAATCAAACGAACAATCACAAATGACCTAACAACAAACAACTTATCTGGTTGGGACACATACAAAGAATTGACAAACAATTAATACCAAAAGAAATATTAAAATGGCAACCAGAAGGAAAGAGAAAACGAGGTAGACTGAGAAAAAGTTTGAGCAAAAGAACAAATAAAGAACTGAGAGAGAGGGCTATAGAAGAAGACCTATGGAACAGCCGGACTAAGTGTCGATTGGAAGTCGGAAAACGGCAGAAAACGGTATAAACCGACAAGTAGTAGCAGTACATATTATTCCCTATAGATACTCTTCTGGTACCAATAAATTCTCAGTACCTATCTCAAGTGATCGTCTTTTGGTATGTGTTCACACTTCGTAGTCTTCAACTAAAAATACGTTGAGGAGGGGAGAACTGTGTGTCTCAAATTGGTCATTCAGAATTATGTATGTTTGTTTAATTTGTTAATTTCCATTTATTCGAATAAAGATAGCTTAAGGCCATTATTTTAGATGTGTACATATAATCTATTTTTTAGACTTTTTTAGTAGAAACAAATCTTAAAATTTGTTTAACTATTATTAAAAGCCCTTTTATGTTCTGGCATACGTTTGTTAAAAGTTCTACCAGTTTGACAGATGTAAGTTTTTAGGAAGTCGCTACATTTAAGTTTGTATACACTACTGTATAAGTGCTTTTTCTATTGGCTCTTGTTGTTTTTAATATATTTGCCTTAGTTGTTTGTTTTTTTTTTATAAAAGCTGGTGTTATTCCTTTTTTTATGTGTTTGGGTATTTTTGTTGATATCTGGCCAGCATTAAGTTCTGTTCGATTACATATACAGACAAGGTACCAACAAATATAGCCAAACAGCTGTAGTGACAAAAACCAAATAATAAAGTTTGGGGAAGTCTTGAAAACAAAAGATTTTAGTGTTTTATTGTTGTGTTCTATTAAATTTATAAATATTAACACTATTGAATAAACAATGAAGAGAGTTTAAAACCTTGTATCACACTCCAAGTATACTAAATTTAGTAACAAAACACAATGCAATGTCGAATAAAAAACGCAATAAAAATAAATGTATTCGTGAAGTAGTTCTCGTTTAATTATTTTAATTATTTGCAGATTAAAGTGAAGCCTTTTGCTACCAGTATACAAAATTAAATCTGTCACAAATGTAATTACTTGACTAGAACTGCATATAACGAAATTACTTAAGGGTTTTCATAGCTCTGAGCATAAAAGAAAATATTTGAGTGACGTCGACTAGTTTAATTGGAGAGTTTTATCCAGTTCGATTTTAATTAGTTGATGCACATGTCGGGATTTCTGAGAGTATAAGCCTGCAAAAGTAGTTAAAAGTTTTGCTATGATTTTTATCGTATTAAAAGTTAATTAAAATGCAAGCATAATTTAATTTAGGTCTTCAAAAATGGAACTCATGACATTTTCTGTAGTAATGTATTACGGAAGTAATGAAGACTTTCGTTTGAATTTACGGATGAGAGGTAATCATTTTAAGATACTTAAATAAAAATAATAGTCAATGGAAAAGGCCAGCTAACTACAAAAGAACGTATTTTGGTTTATAGTTAAGTAAAAAACAAGATAGAGCCAAATAAAAAGCATAAAAAAATCTAGGTAAATCACATAAATTTATACCGTATTATGTTAATTATTTTAGTCTTGTTTTTTTTTAAAGCAACAATGAAAGAATCCATTCTGCAACAATCCAACGTTTAATAAATAATACAAAACATATATATAAAAAAAATCGCGTCCACTGCTGGACATAGGCCTCCCTCAGTTCTTTACAATGTTCTCTACACTGGGTCCCATGTAGCCAGTTTCTTGCTACACGTTTTATATCATCGGTCCATCTAGTCGCTGGTCGTCCTCGCATCTTTTATAGTTTCTGGACCTCCATTCCATAATACGTCTTGTCCACCGTTCATCTTGTGTTCTGCCTAAGTGCTCTGCCCAGTTCCACTTAAGCGTCGTCATGGTTCTTTCGATTACCTCTTGAACTCCTGATCTTTTTCTGATTTATTGGTTTGATATGTGGTTTGCACATTGCACGTTCCATGGCTCATTGTGTAACTCTAAGTTTATTCGCAGATTTTTTCGTGAGTAATAAAGTCTCTGCTCCATAAGTTTGTACAGGAAAAACACATTGGTTATAAACCTTTCGCTTGAGACACATGGGAATTGAACTTTTTAGAATATGGCAATTTGCCAAATGAAGCCATGTCAGTATTCGCCTCTGTATTTCATGTGTTATTTTTTCATGTGATCTCGTGTCCCAGATATTTGTAAGTGTCTGTTTGTTGTATGGAATTATTATCAATAGTTATATTTCTACTTATTACGAGATTTGTGATAAGTTTAGTTTTCTCATAGTTTATCTTTAATTCTGATCTTTCAGACAGACTTTTAAGCGACTCTATCATAGAAACTGTATCCTGTTATCTGAGAATAATACAACATCATCTGCAAACCTATGATGATTTAATCTTTCTCCATCTATATTGATGCCTTGCTGTGAACAATTTTGGTGAAATATTGTCTCCCTGTCTAACTCCTCGACTTAAACTGAATTTTTCTGTGTCTTCGTGTAGTCGTATACTTGATGTAGCGTTCTTCTAGATGTTTTTGATTAGTGTATTGTACCTGTAATCTATTCGGCTTTGATTAAGGGCTTCCAGTACTCTTTCAAACTCTACAGAATCAAAATCCTTCTCGTAATTGACAAATGCAAGAACCGGTGGTATGCATTTGTCACCACTGGTGTAGACACCAGTGGTGTCTTCATCAAAAATATAATTGATATTGTCTATGTCCTTGGTTTCATCAAAATTTTTTTTTATTACATTTTTCTATTATATGTGTGTTTTGTACTCTATTAAGAGAAAAATAAAAATGTAAACGATACTTGTTAAAAAAATATAGGTATATAATAATATGTCCCATACAAAAAAACATACGTTGGTATTATATTTCTTTAGTAGGACCCCTAACAAAATGTTCGTACGCCACTAAATGCTTCCATAATATTTTTATCAAAAGTTCTAAAAAATTTTTTAAAAATTTTACTTAATAAAGAAGATATTTAACCCTCTCGTCTTCGTCATTGTTATATTAATCATAAAGCTATTGATAATTTGAATAGGCAATCATTACATTTACGAAAAAAGAAGTCATGACATCTTAACTAATTTTTTTCTATCTCCTCTAGTTTTCGGTATGAAAACATACCAATTTGGGACAAACTGTACATATATTATATCTAAAACTCGTTTGCTGGTTTTTATATTTTATAAAAAAGTTGCCTTAATTTTTTACCCCATAAATTATACACCTTTTTGCCAGTCATATATTTATATCAAAGACCGTTTTATCTCAATATTTTCAACTCGGTAAATAGCAGTTCCATCTACTTAAACCACACCAGTGAGTCTTTTATGCCTAAATATTTTGACAGTAAAAATTTATACTATGATACAGCACAAGTGTCACGGAGAAAAATGTTTTAAGGGAATTTTCTTGGTAATTTATAATTTAATAAAATCTTTTTAGGATTTTGGCTTGGAATTTTCACCTTATTATATTTCTATCTTATCTATTATCTTGTTAGGAAGTTTGGTATAGGCAG